AATAGCATCAGCACTATACGTAACTTGCTTGATTTTATCTATTCCTATTTCTTTGAATAATGTATAAATATTTCTGGCTTTTTGAGTTTTCTTATGCAAATACTCTCTCTTGATGCCAGGAAGAAATGGTTCCATTTCATTATAAATCTGTGTTCTTGCCATTTGATCATTAAGTTTGCTTTTTAAGCTAATGTCTCTAACCTTTTTTTCGAATTCCTCACTATAATGATACCAACATAAAATTTCTTTTTGACCAGTTTTTTTGGCCTTGTCGAATAAATAGGCCAAATATGATGCAGAACCTGGTGCTGAATTATTGCCATCTAGCATATTTTCAAGAATTTGTTTATTAGATATGGAATTCAAAAGGCTTTTCTCATTAGTAAATGTAGATAACTCATATATTAAACCTTGTTCAACCTTTTGATTATAGAGAATTTTTACTTTAGAAGAAACGATACTTTGTGTTTGACTAATAGGTTCTTCTGAAATATTTTGATCGATCTTGGATGAAAAATCCTTACATACCGAATCCAGAAAATCGTCGACCATTTTATCTTCTAGAGATTTAAGTTCTGTGTAGGTAGGAGGTAAAGGAGATCAACTATCTTTTTCCTGGTATATATGAACCTTTTCTACCTTTTTAGTAATATCAGAATTTGAAGCATTATTAGGAGCATTGATACCGAGAGTGTTTACAGAGTGGCTAGAAATTGGAGCATTATGTGTCTTAACATTAGCTCCACTATTGATATCAAATGCAGGTATATCAACGAAATTTTTTATTTCGGTAAGTGTAGTATTAGATACAGAGTATCCCGCTTCACAAACCGAAGAATTTTTAATCTCTTTAATTTCATCATCTATCTTTGCCATATGAATGGTCTTTTCATTATCTTTTCGCTCGAGATTTACAAACCTAGCTTCATAATCTTTTAAAGTTTGTTCTAATTCCATAATTCTAGCTATAAACCCTGCTTCCTTGGCCAAGAATTCAGCCTTTTCTCTTTTTAATTCTGTGATCTCAGCTACAAGTTTCAAATTTTGTTCTAATAAATCATCTTTAGATTGTGTATTTGCCATTTTTTTATATAAAATATATATATATTCAATTAATCAAAAATGTTTGTGCACGTGAACGTTGTTTATGCCGATCACTTTTGCCAAGAAAATTCCCAATCATATTGCGAGTCAATATATATCGATATCAATAAAATAGATTCACGAAATATACACGCAAAAGTAAACTGATTATTTATATAAAATATACCACCAGGGCCAGCTTTATTGATAGAAAATTATATACAATGGATAATATAAGGAATGGCAAGAGTAGGTGAGTTATATAAAGAATGACAAGGGTAGGGATATATATAACGAAATTAGTGGTTAGATATGGAATAAGGTGTAAATAACGAAATTAATGGTATATAAGATCGTGATAGAAGGCAAAATCGTATTGTCTATTTTGGAGGAAGTCTATTACGAGATTAATAATGATTTTGGAGAGGTGAGATTTATCCGTCAATATAACAGGATATCTAGATTTTCTTGATTCATCTATAGCAAAATCAGTAAAAGTAAGGCAGGGGGCGACCAGAATACCGATCGTACCTGGATTTTCTTGATATACCACACCTCTCATTTCATGAACGATGGAGAGTCCTATATTACTTTCAGTTAGCATAATTCTTTGGATCAAGCATAAATTAACGCTAAAGCCTACCTATCGAATTATCCCAATTCTTGTACTGGAACAAGATCGTAACCTCACCTATTTCTCCAATTATATCTATCCCTCCGTCGTTACGCCCCCTATCAATGAACAAAAGTGAGTAAATGTGTCATCGTTATTAACAATTAAAGATCACACGCCAGAATAGTCTACGGTGATGTGCTTCCAGTAATTAGTGTATATCCTATTTACCACAGCCCTGGATGCCGGACCCAGCCTCTCTACATTATATAGGGTAGCTTTCGGATACGAACAGAAGAACGTTCACCATCATATAATAGTGGCCACAATGTGCTTTTAATTCTATTCGATTTTACACCTAGTGACAGCATACCTTCGGATACACGATAACTTGACAAATACCCAATGAGAATAGAAACTCACCCTACATGCTTAACATTAACTCCAAGACTTTTTAGTAGTTCCACAACATCTACTTCAAATATTTTTTCCTTTATATAGAAAGAGTGCTCAATGACGACAGCAACTACTTCGGTTTTAGGCATTTTTTTGAAAAAAAGTAAAATCTCCAAGATGTAAAGATTACAGTATATCATATTTTTTCATATCTTTTATATTAAAATGTCATTTCCCTCTTTTCACTAGTAACATTTTCAATTTCCTCATTAAGAGAAAGTGCTTAAATTATTTGAACTATTCATAAAAAAAACACTATGCTCAAAAATCATTTTGGAATTTTTAGAACGTGTCGGAACCTTAGTATATTTGTATCTATTTCTAGTCGTACATAAAATCTGCTTATTTAACCTTAAACAGAATTCACCACAAATGCATTAAGCTTCCTGTGAGGCTTGAATATAATTGTATAGAAATCTATTATAATATACCAAATTCGGCTAATAAACTCATGATACGTATGTACAGTAGCCAACAAAAGTAACGCCTGATGGTAGAAAATAATTAGGATAATTGGCTAAGATAGCGGGTAATAATGGATTAGACCGCACAAAAAAATAAAGTTCATAACGGTAATACAGGTTATAATGAGAATAAAACAATAACTAAATAAATTATGCATGCAGAATTTCTATGACCTTCCATCTTAAAGTTTAACATCTATTACGTATTGCGAATTATAGGGATGTTAATCAGTCCTTAAATCACATGATGGCTGTATAGGACTTAGATCCCTGGATCGATTTTGGAACTCAGTCCCTTTAAAAAATAAATCAGTTACATAGTGGCACTTAAATTAAATTTTCCAATAATTTTGTAATTATTAC